GTCCCTTAAAACCAGCAAAGTACTTCGAAAACCAAAAAAATGAATCAATGTATTTTTATTCCGAGTTTTTAGTAACTTTTTGTGCACCCGTTAAGCCCGTGGAGCTTGCAAGCTCGTTTGCGAAGAGTTAATCTTTTGAGAACCTTTCCTGGTTGACGGTAATCCCACTTACTTATCCCCCAAAGGCTCGATGGGAATTAGGGATCGATCAACCGTTAAAAACAAGAGAGACATCACGGAGAAATACTTTATCCAAAATCCCGTTCAAGTCTCGGATAATCTAGTGACATCTACATCTACGGTCTTATAAAAAAATATAAAATCAAACTTTTAAATACTTGCCAGTTTTCACTTTTATAATTAAATTTGCAATTAGTAAGCTTTATACATTAAAAGAAATTTTCTTAAATTATCAATCATTTTTTAATACACCAATATAATAATTATTGCATCAAATTTCCTAGAAAAAAATTTAAAATTTTCAGAACTTATTATTCTCTCAAAATATTTTTTGTTCTTTTAAATTTTGACCAAAATATAATAATATTGACAAAATTTTTTTTTTTGTTCAAAATCAAATTTTCTACAAAAAATATCTTTTACGATTTTTTCATATTTTTGATTTTTTAATTATGAATTTTGATGTTCCAAATTAAACATCTAATTTTTGAATTTCTCAGAGTTTTTTTTTCAAATTTTGACTAAAATATCAAAAAAATATAATAAAACATCCTAAAGAAAAAGTTTCTTTACAATTTTTCCATATTTTAAAAATTTAACCCAAAATTCAATAATTAAAAACAAAATCAATTATTTATTATACATATTTAATAAATAATTATCAAAGTAATTGTAATAAGATTATAAATTGAAGAATGTTTTACAATTACTCTCATTTTCACGGTAATTTTCTTTTCCAAAATTGGAACAAGAAAATCTACAGAATAAAAAAGAAAGCTCCTTTACTTTTAGATTGTAAGTATAGTAGTATAAAAGTAGATTGAGATTCGAAAGTTTAATGTCATCGTCGACAATGGAGGCTGCTACCATTTACCTTCACACACACGAGCACACACACACACATCCAGTCTAATAATATAAATATAAATATAAATGAATTTAATTGTACAATAGACGAGTGAATATGAAGAGGTGGAGGCATTTGTTATTTTTATTTTTATCATATTGTTAATTCTTTTATTGTGTCAATAACGCGTGTTAATGTAGACACTCAAGTAAGCGGGCTATTGTGAGAGCGCTCGCCCTCTATCCTCACCATCTATAACTATAACTTGCTCACGACGGGAGTCACAGCCAATACGGCGACGGCTATACTACAATTCGTACTTATTCGACAGTGATGTTGAAAATATTTACACATTTATACTTTTGTTCACTTGTACTTGTACTTTCTTTGTACTTGTGTATGTTGCGGTCAATAGAGCTATTCGATTTGTTAGGTAACTTGTCGATTGCCAATGATGACTTTTGTTGTCATTATTGTTATTGTTGTTGTTATTCAATAATCGTGATGGCGAATCTGTTGGAGAAAGTTTCTCTGATTTGTTCTATTATAGATTTTTTAGAGCAATTATGTAAGTTTTGTAAGGAGTTTTAATAATTTGAGCATCGAGTGATGCTTTGTAAAAATGTTGGAAGGTAATAAAGATTTTTTAGGGATTCACTTGATTACTTTTGGAAAAAAATTAAATATGAATACTAGCAATCCCGCATGGAAAAATATATATGTCAAAAATATATGTCGCATGTATAATATATATGCCGCATATATTTACGCAAAAAAAAAAAATATGTCAACATATATTTTTCACATAGATGCTGACATATATGCAGAAATACATGCTTACATATATGTAAGCATACACTGAAAAAAAAATTTCTAAGTTTGAGAATTTTTTTACTCAAATCAAGAAAGTTAAATTTTTCAAAATTATTTTCTTGATTTAAGTTAAATTTTTTTCTGTGAATCTCTAGACATTTACATGCGCACATATATGTGAACATATATGTGGACATATATTTAGCGCAAATAAAATATATGTGAAAATATATATTTGCATATATTTTTCCATGCGGGAACTTCGCAGTCACTAGGTGACTGCCGCGACTTGAACTATAAATAAATAAAATTTTGCTTTATTAAATAATAACTTTTGTTAAATTGCACCGTACTTTCTTAAATATTGACATTTTTGAAGATATAAGCTCATTATGATGTTACACTCATCAAGAGCTTTCATTTGAGTACCCACATACATTTTTTATATATTTTTCTTATATACATATATATGATATATAAAAATATATAAAATATATGAAAAATTGATGTGGGTAATCAAATGAAAGGTCTCGATGAGTGTAACATCGGAATGAGCTTATATCTTTAAAAATGTCAATATTTCATGTGATACAAGGTCATTTCTTAATTATTGACATTTTTTAAAATATAAACTCACTTCGATGTTACACTCATCGAGACCTTTCATTTAAGTACCCACATGGCATTTTTTATATATTTTATATATGTCTTATTTGTGGAATACATAAATGTATACAATATCAGTATGAGCTTATATCTTCAAAAATGTCAATATTTCACGAGATACAAAGTCATTTCTCAATTATGTGTCTAGAGATAGAGCTTTTTCGAATATTGAATTTACGAACATTTTTAACGATACTAAAATTGTTCAATATTTAATTTTCTATAATTTTTGTTTCAAAAATTTCTCTCAAAATCCAGAATTACAAATGAAAATAAAATAAACAGATTAAAATAAAAATTATCAAACTTCGGAATCTCAAAAGCCTAATTACTGTATTTGATTTACGAAAGAGTTAGTTAAAGTTCCACGTAAAGTTTAGTAAGCAATAAAGTGATATTTGTAGTCGAAATAAACTAAAATCACTTCCCTCGGAGTAATAAGCAGTAAGTTAAACAGTCGCACTTAGATTTAACGTCCCAGCGAAAATGGACAAATAAACTCACTCTCTGTCTTTAATTACCCAGATAAACTCCCACTAACTTCTTAAAATTACCGTATCAAATTCTTAATTACAATTCAATTTAATCATTGACAATTTTTATAAATTTTACTTTCCCAACTATTAATTTAATTATTTTACTTACTTGATTAATCTTGAACTTTTCCTCCTTCTTCTTTTTCGTCACTTTTTTATACTAATTTTTATTAAAATAAATTCTAAACTTTTTATATTATTTTAAAATTAAATTATAAATAATTAAAGGTACTAAATAATAAGAAAAAATTTTTTTAAACATTTAAACAGAAAAAAAAACTTTATTTTTCAGTCATAATTTATATTTCTTTCAACACAAATTTGCAGAAAAAAAAAACAATTGTCGCTTGATTATTATTAATTAATATTTTATACACATTTATATAAATTCATATCTATCTATCTTTATTTATATATATATATTTATATTTATATATATTCAAAAAAAAATTCAATTTCTATTACATAGTTAATTACATTTTGCATACACACATTTCGAATCCGCGCTTTAAATATTTTTACAGACTTTCTCAGCATGAACTTCGGCCCCGGAGATCTCGTTAATTACAATTTACCAATTACATATAATAATAATAATAATTTATCCAAAATAACAGCCCCCCAATACGTCAATAAATATCACAATTTTTCTTTTTTCCCTCAACGAAATCTCCCTAAATTTATTTCCAAGCGAATAAATAAAAAAATATATATCCTACTTTACAGTTTTTCAAGCTCGTAATTTATATTTATATTTGTAATTTGTAAAATTACTAATTATTAACGGTTAAATGTGTTATAAAATATCACTACAGATACCAATCGGCACCCGTCATTTAAAATATTTAGTAATGATTTATTATTAATAATCATTAATTATTTCGCTGTAATAACTACGTATTCACAAATATTTTCAATAAGTACTTATTTATTTTAATACACTGATAGAAAGATTTTTAAATATTTTATTAGTCATTAAAATAATATTTTTGATCAATATTTACTGATAATTATTATTATTTATTTAATAAAATTTATTAATATTTTTTTTAATAGCTAGAAGATATTTTTTAATCACAATTTCTTAAATTTATAATTAATCTTCACTTTTCATTTATAAAAATTTACAATGACTCAAAAATTATTTAAAATTTAATTTTATATTTTTGATTAAAAAATTTTTTTCTAAAATCAAAATTTAAAAAACTGCGACGATTTTTTTAAGCTACAAAATATTTTTAAAAATGTCAAAAAATTTCCACAAAAAATAGCTATATTTTTCAAAATTTCCATCCTACAATTTTTGTTTCAAAATTTTTTTAATTACAGCCATTTTTTCACACTTCTGTTTCCAAAAATGTCCCAAAAAAATTTTTTTAAATTGAATATTTATTAATTTTCAATTCAAAAAAAAAAAAATTTTTTTTGATAAAATTTGAATTCCTAAAAATATTTTTCACCAAACTCTATCAGTATATTTAAAAAAATTCCACCACTAATAATTAATTCAAATTAAAATCAATAATATTCACAGTGACTTTAAATGAAATTTATTAATCAATATTTCACCATATTTTGATGATCATGAGCTACGACTCAATCGTAAATCTCTAAGTAATTATGCCCACAATCAATCAACAACATCAATAATAATAATAATAATAATAATAATAATAATAATAATAATAATATGAATAATAATAATAAAATAATAAAGAAACTATCATAAAAGAAAGATTGATTAAAATACAAAATTTATTTACATTCACTGACTTTACAAATATTGGCACATACCATTTCCACGCATTCCAAAAATAGTTTAACTATTTACAATTCACCAATTCCAAGTCCCCGACACTATTTACACTATTTTAAATAAAATAACCTATAATTTCCGCAGTGGAACCCCTCAAAAACACACTCACACATTAATAGATCCGTTCCACTAAAACAAACAATTAAATATGAACCGCAGCAGTCCTAGGTCCACTGGTTTGATTATTGTGCTGCCTGCGAACAGGCGGAGGTTGTCTTCTCTGATTATTAGTCCTTTGATTATTCGGAACATCAGGAAGCGCGAATCTCAGTTTTTCCCAGAACAACTTATCGCCCCACTGAAGATACGTATTAGTCTTCAAGTAGAGCCTAATATCGGGATCTAAATCACGCTGGGGAACGTCTCCAACTAAAACCAAGATGAGCCTCCGCCTGCGATCCCTCAGAACTTGATGATGAGCCGACTTGAAGTCAAATCTACACCACTCAGACTTGATGAAGTTCTCCGACAGAACAATAATCGTTCTTCTGGAGGATTCGACAGCCTGAACGATGGTGTCCGCAATGAAGCTCCCCACCGGAAAATCCCGATAATGCAGACAGAGCTTGTAGGAAGGGTTCCCCATTTCTAAAACAGGGGCCAATTCCTCGACAACAAACGCCTCGTCCTTGGAACTGTAGGACACAAACGCGTCAAAAAGTTTATCACGGTCATCGCGGTCAAATTCGGTGTTCCGATAGAAGATTCTGACCCCGAACCTGGAGTGGAACCAGACGCGGAACTCCTGACGGAAGATGAACACCAACATACAGAGCAGCATGACAATCAGAAATGCTGCCAATGTAGAGATCAGCAGCGGCAAGTAATCTTCCAAAGCTTGCCGCTCGATAATTGTCTTGGTCAGATTGCTCTGGATTCCATTTTCAATGTTCATCATACCCGTGCACTGTTGGCTCTCGCTGCCACTTGAAGAACCACCAGAATTTGCACTAGCACTTGCACTTGCACTGAGGGAATTGGTGGAGTTCGGCTGGCCAACAACGGCAAAACCGAACTCGTTGTCCCTGAACACTTGGTCGCCGTAAACTTCGAATTCAGTGACATTAAACACGCACCTGAGCTGATCAGAATCAGGCACTTTGTTCTTTCCAGCAAGAATCCACTCGCGATAAACCTCCAGATAGTCGCACTCGCAGGACCAGGGGTTCTTCGATAAGCTCACTGTTATGGACCCAGGCAGGCCCCAGACCGCTAAAGTGGTCAGCCGGTTGTTCTGGAGCTCGAGAACCTTCAAAGACTTCAAATGCGAGAAGGTCCTATTAGCAATTGTGAAGATTTCGTTCCCGAACAGATACAAGAACTGAAGATTGTCCAGACCCTCGAATTCGTACCCACGGAGTTCTTTGATCTTGTTGTTCTGCAGGTGCAAATCCTCCAAATCACGGAGTCCGTTGAAGGACCTGTTTTGCACCAATTCGATGTTAGACGAATTGAGATACAGAACTTTGAGTTTCTTGCGGCCGATGAACGCGTGGCTGGATATGGTGTTAAGATCATTGCCGTCCAAGTAGAGCCGCGTTGCGTCCATGGGAATCTGCTCTGGCAGATGATTTACGTGTCCGCCAGAAGAACAGTCTACGACATTTGCTGACCAGGATTGGTCGTGGTAGCAAGTACAGTTTTGGGGACACGTCATTTCACAATCACACGCGTCGAAATCACAGCAATGACATAGGGCAAAACAATGAGAGTCATATTTGCAGAGGAATTGGGAGTGCGAAGCCTCAACAAGTGGTACATAAACACGCTCACGATCGTAGAGCAATTTGCAGTAAATACTCTCAAGGTCCATAACGTTTGGGTAGATTCGCGATTGGTTCTGCCGGTTAACACGCTGAAGCCACTCCATTGTGCAGTCACACAGATAATGATTATCACCGATATAAAACTCCGGGAGCGGTTTTTCCGCAGGCACTGCACTGATTCTCAACGCGTAAGTTTCCAAGTTTTGAATTCGATTGCCCTTTAGATCAACGTGAGTCAAATTAGGCTTTTTAAAAAACGCGTAACTCTGAACTTTGGTTATCAAATTGTCATTTAGGAAAAGCACTTTAACACTCATGGGTATCGCGTTTCCCGTTATTTCGGTGAGTTTGTTCTGGCTGGCATCGAAAGTGCTCAGCTGTAACTGGGTTTCTATTTCAAAGTAATTCCCCAATTCAGTAATGTCATTGGAATGCACATCAAGCCACTGTAATCCAGTTGGTATCATCGCGTAATCGAACCACTTAAGTCTATTGTCACTGACATTCAACCACACAAGATTAGGCAAATTCGCGAATAGCCCGGCGATAGCAATCAACTGGTTCCCGTCCAGCCTGATCGCCTGAAGATTCGTGTTGTCATCAAAAGTCCCAGGTTCTATGTACTGAATCCTGTTCCTCGACAAGTTCAGGATCTTAAGCTCCTTTATCTTGTCAAATATCCCTTTGGTCAAGTTTCCAATGTGGTTTTCCGTGAGCCTCAGTCCGTAGAGCTGAGATACGTGGTCGAAAGTACCGATTGGTATCTCTGAGATTAGATTCTCTCCAAGATCAAGAGTGCGTAACAGAGGCGTCGCTTTCAGCGCATCCGGCACAGATGTCAGCCGATTACCGTTAAGATGCAAATCCTGGAGTGACGATGCGTTTCTCAACGAACTGGGATGGAGAACCGTCAAACGGTTGTTGTCCAACGACAGCAAACTTAACACATACAACCCACTGAGCGTTGTCGCATCAATTACCGTCAACTGGTTGTCACTGAGCACCAACGTGTGCAAATTGTACAACGCTGAAAAGGTGTTCTCCTGCAAGGTCTCTATCAGATTTTCCTGCAGCCTCAGAATCTGCAAACTGTACAAATCCCGGAACACTGTTGGCTCAAGTCTTGACACCCTATTTGACGACAAATCAAGAACCACCAACCTAACTAGTCCACTGAACGTCGCGGTGTTCACCCACTCAGTAGTCAGCTCGTTCTTGGAAAGATCCAGAACTAGCAGCTGGGTCAAATCATTGAACAGCCCAGGTGGCAGGACATTCAACGAATTGTTCCTTAAGTAAACTTCTTTAAGATTCTTCGCTTCATTAAACAACTCAGGCGGCAAACTCGTCAACCTATTATCCGAAAGCTTCAGAACCGTCAAACTAGTTAACCCTTCAAAAGCGCGATCTGCCATAAATCCAATCGCGTTGCTTCTCAAATTCAAAGTCTGCAACCTGGTCAACCCCGAAAACGCAGCAGTTGGCAGATTTTCAATGCTGTTGTTGCTCAAATCCAGCTCTCGAAGATTCCCAGCGCATCTTCCAGCGACGTTGTTAAAATGGAAGCTTGCAACCTCCCTCAAGCGGTTCCTGGTCAGATTCAGGACCTCCAGGCTGCTCAGTGAACACAAGCTGCCCTCGGGCAGACTCCACATGTTGTTTTCCCCCAAATCAAGCCTCTCCAACTTCGATAATTCCTCCGTGAAGGCCCGCTGTGAGACATCCAGCGCCATAGCTGACCAGTCAGTATTGTGGGTCCTGACGGTGAGATTCCTGAGCTCTTTTAGCCCTCGGAAGGCATCGTCAGACAAATTGCCTATCTTGCAGTACTCGATCACCAGCTCTCTGAGCTCCACCAAGGGCCGGAAGCTTCCTGCACTCAGCGAACTCTGGTAGAAAAGCGCGTCGCTGCACTCTAGCCTCAATCTGACCGTGTGTTGGGGCTGGATGACGCTGAAGTTGGTGTTCTCCAGCTCGCTGTTGATGGTCCTGAGTCTGCAGACCAGAGACACGTCGTCCTCGGCGTCTCCGGTGGCGACCCATTTGCACTCATCGGGGGCCTTGTACCTCAACGCCTTGCTGAGTGAGGCTCCCAGTGATCCGAATATCGTGCCCAGGAGGATCGCCAGGAAGGCAGGGTTCCCCTGCATCTTGCTGCGCTGATTCGTCACTGACGAACTGTGGCGTTAGGCATCCAAGGCATCCAATGCCACAAGATCCATCTGGGAGTTACGTTAATCCGAGTGGAGAATCATCCTCGGATTAGTTATCACCATTCACCAACTTGGGACCTTTTGCAGTCACTTGGAACTTAATTCTAAAACACTTTAACGAACTAACTGATCATCAAACAATCAGCACCTGGTTCTTTACCATCTTGATGCTCACATCACATATCACTGTATATCCAATCGGAGCCTGGAGATTATCCACCTGGAGATTATCCGGTCAGGCACAACAAAGAACACCAGGTTCGGCGGTGGTAATCCAAATTTAAATAGAAGACACCTTTTGGATGGTAATCCGGTTAGCGGAAGCTTTTTAAAACAGCAATATTGATAGTCCGTCAAGTTCAGCTGGTTCGTGGGATTACAAAGTATTCGGACCGGCGAGCGCGGATCCAGTCAGACCCACGGTACTTCGAGAACTGGCTGGGTAGATGCCCGGCAAGTGACTCGGGCCCGCAAGCATCATCAAACAAGTTCCCCTTTCCTCCGCCCGGTCCGCCAGCTCGGAGGAGTAGTCCCTCTCTCCTCGTTACTGGTTAGTGTGTGTTGGTGAGGGATAGCGAACGGCCTCTTGCTCTCTGTTCCTCTTGCTACGCTGTCCTTGTTCACCTGGCCCCTCAACGGAGACTCCATTCCACTGCTAGCTGTACTTATACTAAGGTATTGCTTATAGGGGCTATAAAAACAAGACCGGTACACTTTGCCGTTCTATGCAGTCCCACCGGTCGCCAGTCCTCAAGGGCTAGAGAGAAGGAATTTTTTTATGGTTGTGATTAGAGGATTTTGGAAAATGGAAAAATTGGTTGAAAAAATATTCTACGTTAGAGAAAGTGGGTTTAGTTTTTTAAATTTTGATAAATATAGCAATTTTTTTTAAGAATCATATTATACTGAGAAAAAAAAATACTTTTATTAAGAAATTTTTGTTGATATAAAAATTTATGTTCTTGAAAATTTTCAAGAATATGTATTCTTAGCTCAAAAACTTGTTAAATTGATTGATATAGTTTTTATTTAATTCAAATAAAGCTATTCTCTTGTTTATCTATTATTCAAAGATAAATATTGATGCTCTTTTCTTCAGAAATTATGTCAATTTATAGTCAACAGTCAATTTATGATGATAAGTATTTAGGCTGCATTCGAAAATGCTCTATCTCTAGATACATAATTGAGAAATGACCTTGTATCTCGTGAAATATTGACATTTTTAAAGATATAAGCTCATCTTGATATTACACTCATCGAGACCTTTCATTTGAGTGCCCACATCAATTTTTCATATATTTCATATATTTATATATATTATATATATGTATATATCAAAAATATATCAACAATGCATGTGGGTACTCAAATGAAAGCTCTTGATGAGTGTAACCTCGGGATGAGCTTATATCTTAAAAAATGCCAATAATTAAGAACTGACTTTGCTATCTTGTCAACTAATCATATTTTTAAAGATATAAGCTCATCTCGATATTACACTCATCGATACCTTTCATTTGAATACCCACATCAATTTTTCATATATTTTATATATTTATATATATTATATATTTATATATATTATATATATGTATATATGGAAAAAATATATGAAAATGCATGTGGGTACTTAAATGAAAGCTCTTGATGAGTGTAACATCGGGATGAGCATATATCATTGAAAACGTCAATAGATAAAAAAGTTCAGTGCAATTTAACAAAAGTCATTATTTAATCAAGCAAAATTTTATTTATTAAAAATTTTTTAGGATCAATAATTTAAAAGATATAGTCGTTATAAACTTGTTAATAATCAGCATACTATAGAGTTGAAGTGGATACTAAAAACTTGTGAAATAATTAAGTCAAGTGACTCTCTGAAAAATGCTCGTTACCATCTCTATCATAATGATCACCACTCTCCATTGTAAGTACACGAATCCTCTCAAAGCTTCACCTATTCTCCCTTTAGTGATCGAAGTGAAGTCTTTAGTTAATAACGGGGGATTAATATTAATAATTAACCGCGACCCAGAGTTAATAAATCACTTGTAGAATAACAGAGTCAACATCAGTAAACTGTTAAAGCCTCGTATCTTTGCTAAGGACAATAAAGCATGTATGCTCCTTTTGTTGTCTCGATTACGGTAAACGAGCGTATGACATTTTAAATGATATGTCTAGCCGTAGAACCTCTCGGGACCTCATTTGCTGAAATAACCCACAATAGAAAGAACCAAAGCAAACTCTCTCGCTGTTTAAATTATTTAAAAGATTATAACGGGCTAATTTATTCACAAGTTTATTTTCGATGAAAAAAACACGTGAGAGGGAGAAAGAGGCAAGAGGTAATCAATATAGATGTACGGAGGTATAATTAGCGTGGCTGAGTTTTTGAGAGTGAAAAATAAGAGACCGCTATTTCGAAAGCGGTTAACGAAACGAAACTAAACCCCTACAGGCATGGACCGGTACACGACCGAGGATCGAGGATCCAGTGTGTATATATGAGGTCCCGAGCTCTTGACAGGGGGTAGGCTCGCCATGGGAGACCACTTAACGGGGCCCCGAGATCCGGCACATAATGCACCGGCAATCGTTTTCACACCCTATGTGTTGCTAATTATTGCTAATTCATCAACAACATTATTACTTTTACCGAGAATGCAACTTAGTGTATTTTCTCTTGATTTTTTTTACAAGTCTTATGTAGAAAAATTTTTAAAAAATTTTTTATGTTCTAAATGCAGAAAAAAAATTTCTGAATTTTTTTGATAGCCATTATTTGATTTGAAAAATATAAAAATATTTGAAATAATTTTGGTACACTGATAAAAGGTTTTATTAATTATTAATAATTTAATTTATTTGAAGACAATTAATAAATTTATTAAATATTTTTTAACATTTAATAAATATTTTTAAAAGTGAAATTTATAAAAAAAAAAAATTTTTTCTAGTCAAAATTTTTATACAAAAAAAAATTTATTTTTAATTTTTTTTATTAATTAAATTACAACTAAAAAAATATTTTTAAAAAATTGCACTTATAGCTTTTCAAGTTTTTTACATGTGAAATTTTTTTTTTTAATTTTTTAATTGAAATTTTTTCAATAAAATATTTCTAAAAATTTTGAAATATCGGCTAACTTCATTTTCATACTTTTAAAGAAAGGAAAAAAAAATTCTTAACCAAAAATAAAAACATCGCCGAGTTGTCTTAATTAAAGATAATTTTTTCTGAATTAACTAATTTTAATTTGGCATACAATTAAATTAGTAACAATAGGTCTGAGTGATTCAAATCTAGTTAATTTGTGGTAGAGCTTTTGAAGATAAAAGTTTGAGCTTTTGGGTGAATAACGAGCGTCGCTTTGCTTTGGAATGAATGGGCGCAGTACGTGACAGTCGGGCAAGGTGTCCCTTTATCAATCTTTTGTTCGCGCTCACGTATAACCGCGACAGTAACCGTTGAGAGAGCGCAAAATGAGGAGGATCAACACGGGACAAAGACAAAGATAGAGACTGAGAGACTGAGATTCTGGAGGAGAGAGAGAGCAAAAAGCGGATAAAGAATAGCAGGAGAGAAGAAACAACTCTACAGTTTCTATCTATATGATATGATAGTCTCTTTGGTGGTACTATTCTTAACTCTCAATAGCTGTGCTCAGATACGCCGAAGTGAGTTGAGTTACATCGTGAAGAAAAGCCACTGGTAATCCCGTTACATTGTCAAGTCTCAGCCATTTCCACGAGACTTATTCGATACCTCGGTGACGTCATTATAGAATCTGTCATTGCCAGCTCGGGTCTTATTCCACTGAAAGAATTCGGATCATGATCGTCTGAGACGTCATTCTGTTCTGGAGCACCATTTATCAGGAATAGAATTATATAGGTGATGGTAGATGCTATGTTGATTGTTGATATCAACTTCAACTTTCGGTGATTTTAACTCTGAACTATAAAAAATTTTTTTATGATTGATTAATTGATTTATTAAATTGATTTTTGTGAGTTATTTTATTTATTGAGATGTGATTGAATTTTGGAGGAAATTTTGGTAGAGAAATTTTTAAGAATGGGGGCGTAGGAAAGAAGTTAATAGAATTGACTGATTTTAATGAAAAAATTATTAATTACTCTTTAAAGTATGTAGATTCTTGAAATCCAGGCGAAGAATTGAAAAAATGAATAATTTTGTGAGAAAAAATTATTTTAAAATTGATTTTTGCAATCTTTGATATTTTTAGAGGAAAATTTTGAAGAAATGGAGGCGTAAGAAAGAAGTTGATAGAATTTTTTTATTTTTATGAAAAAATTACTAAATATACTTTGAAGTATGTTGTTTCTTAGAATCCAGGCGAAGAATAAAAAAAAATGAATAATTTTGATAGAAAAAATTATTTAAAAAATGGATTTTTGCAATCTTTGATATTTTTAGAGAAAATTCTAAAGAAATGAAGTCGTAGGAAAGAAGTTGATAAAATTTTTTTATTTTACTGAAAAAATTACCAATTACTCTTGAAAGTATGTAGATTCTTAAAATCCAGGTAAAGAATTGAAAGAATAAATAATTTTATTTAAAAAAATTATTTAAAAATAGATTTTTGTAATTTTTTATATTTTTAGCAGAAAATTTTGACGAAATGGAGGCGTAAGAAAGAAGTTGATAAAATTTTTTGATTTTAATGAAAAAATTACCAAATATACTTCAAAGTATGTAGGTTCTTAAAATCCCGGCGAAGAATTAAAAAATTCAATAGTTTCGTTAGAAAAAATGATTTAAAAATAGTTATTTTGATTTTCAAAAAATTTTTTAAAGGGCAAATAGAAAAGACGATAGAATCATTCAATTATATTGAAATTCTCTCTGAATATACTTTTTATAATCCAAATGAAGAATTTATAAACTAGATTCTTAAAAAAAAACT